CCCCCTAGGGGCCCAGGCTGGAAGCCCCCATGGCTGCGGTGTCTCCCCAGGCAGGCCAGAGAAGGGGAGCGGAATGGGAGGCCCCAAGGCTCGGTCTGAAGGCTGGCCGAACCCAGTGAGGCTCTGGCTTTAGATGGGTGTGCAGGGAGGGAGGGTGGGTGAGCAAGATGCCCTCCTCCCGGGAGATCGGAGGAAGCTGCTACGGTTGCTGGCTTTGCCCTGGGCGTTGGGGCCCCTCCCCGCTGCCTAGGACTTGGGATGGGGGTTTGTGTCTCTGCAAATGCCGAAGGGGGCGGCTCTGAAGGATGGGCAGCTGGGAAGAAGGGCCCTAGCAGAGTCCTGGTCCCTCAGCTGAGCCTGGTGCCGAAGGACCGAGGGCCTGCACCCCTTCACGCCTACACCACAGCGACACTGTCACCACCTGCAGCGGGACCTCTTCACGGGGACACCTGGACACCTCTGGGCGAAGGTGACCATTCCTCCTCCAGGGCCACCCGTCCTGAGGGTGAGACCGGGCAGGGCACTCCCCAGGGCACAGCGGAAGACTAAACACCGGGCAGCCCCTTGCGGGGGAAGGAGGAGGGTGGAGCAGGAGGAGGAGTCAGAAACCTGCCAGGGGAAGCGACAAGCCGGACAGGTGCCGGCAGCCTGGGGAGGGGCAGTGACGCGGATAGAAGGGTCCAGGAGACATCTCTGAGCTCAGGAGACTGGTGGGATCGAAAGCGTGGGTATTGTGATGTCTCTGCTGGGCTAAGCCAGAGATCCTCACCTACCCAGCGGCCGTCACCCCAGTCCCACCAGCCGGGCCTCCTGGCGGCCTGCAGATGCTCCATCTCTCCGTATTTTTTTGTTTTGTTCTGTTTTGACTTTTAAAAAAATAAAAGCTTGATCGTAAAATATGTCTGGAACTCTATGGCAAGGGGGGGTGACAAGAGTGGGAAAGAAGGGGAAGTGGGGGGAAAGAGGGGGTATTTGGAGGGGAGCAGGGCAGCTAGATGGCCTCCACGTAGTTGGCGGGATAGAGGCCAAACTGCCCGCTGTCCAGCCGCCCGCGGCACCAGCCCTGCTCATCCTCCTCGCCCAGCTTGGTGAGCTCATCTCCTGGGAGGGGACACAGAGGAGCTCCTTGACAGGGGCTCGGGAGGGCGTCCACCCGCCCACACCGCTGGGTGGCCTCCCATACTCTGATGCTGGGCCCACCCAAACCCTCCCCCATATCGCCCCAAAGCCTGCCCCAGGGGACCAGCCCCAGCCACGCCCAGGCATCCGCCTCCAGCTTCATTTCCCAGGTCAGTAGTCGGGGACCCCTAGTCCAGGTCGGGCCTAACCCCCAACGCTACTCTGAGGTCCTGACCCCGCCCCAGGCATCCAGCGACCACTCTCTAGTGAGGTCTAGGTCCCCCGGGCTGAGGTCACACGCCAGGTCCTGGCCACACCCCGCGCGCCAGGCCCCGCCCACAGCGCACTCGCAGCCAATCCCGCCCTCCCCGCCCTCAGGCCCCGCCCCCAGGCTCCGCCCATCGTACCAGCCTTGAAGCTGAGCTCGTCCTGCTCCTGGCCGTCGTAGTCGTAGAGCGCCCGCACACGCACCCCCTTAGCGTCGTCCTCGAAAGGGTTGGCGCCCCCATTGGCCTCATTGCCCCCAAATGTGTTCCCGCTCTCGTCGTCTGACCACTCAGTGACGTAAGGCTGGCCCCTGTCATAACTGCTAACGCTGAGAAGCAGAGAGAGGGCCGAGCGTGAACTGCCTCTCACCCGTGCCCAGCTCTGCCCCTCGCCAGCCAGAGCGCTGGCCCCACATTTCACCAAGCCCGGAGCAGGGGCGGGCTTTGTAAGAGGGGTCCTGAGCCAATGACCTCACTGACAGCTCTTTAAACAGATGGGAGACAAGACTCTTAGCATTGTTACTCGGCCTTGGTTAGAGTGAGGGGGTGCTGAAGGGGACCCCAGAGAACATCTGACTCCTCAACGGAGAGGGGCAGTACAATCTAGTGGTTAGAGTGACAGCTCTGGGCCAGACTCTTGGGCATCATATCCTGGCTCTGAGGCTTAGTAACCAGCTGTGTGACCTTCTGCAATCACTTAACTTCTCTAGATATCAGTTTCTCCATCTGCAAAATGGGAATATTTACATGCTTCTCGGAATGCTGCAGGCTTCAGTGAGCTAATGTGTGAAAATGCTTGGAACAGTCCCCGGGCACACAGTAGGTGCTCTCAGAGGATTCGCTATCTCTGTTTTTGAAAGGAGAATGAGGTTGCTGTGATCTGGACCATTTCTTGTGTCTTACGGTAAAACCCCAGCGATTCCTGGCCTGTAGGAAGCGCCACAGGAGACACTCACCTGCCACGGTCGCCAGCCTGGGACGTGGACTCCAACACCCCAGTGGCATTGGTCAGCGCCGCCCCCTCGGCCTTCTTAGGCTGCTTCTCCTTCTTGGCGGTGGCGTGAGGGAGGTCTGGGTTCCAGTCCTGGTGGACGCCAGGGGAGCGGTCAGGCTGGGGGTGCTCCCCGAGGCCCCTTCCAGCCTTCTCAGACCCCTTCCCCACCCCCACACACCCTTACCTCAAACTGGGGCCAGTTCATGGGCATGCCAGGGCCGCTGGTGCTGCGGAACCATCGGAGGTCGTCCTGGGCGTCGGCCCCCCGGATGACCTGCTCCAGCTCCCGGTACACATGGACATAGCTGCGCACAGGGAGACGGGGGGTGGGGTGGGTGGAGGGCAAGATGCACATGGCCCCTCTCATCCTTGGTGAGGGCAGGAGCCCACTCAGGGGACCAGGGTGCTGGCCCCCAGCTGGGAATCAGGCAGGCCTCCCCAGGAGCAGTCTCCATGTGGGCATGCCCAGTGGCCACCCTTCGCCGCCCTCACCCCCCTTAGCCACCCACCCATCTGTCCGCGCATGTGCCTTGCGCATCTAGTGTGCATCGGCTTGCACCAGGCAGCCACTGGGCTCGGAGCCTCTTCTCTCTGGGCCCCTGCACCTCAGCCCTCCCCTTCCTGTCACTGTAACATGGGGCCCGGGATGCCTCGCACCCCCATTCTACCCTCTGCTGGCTGTGCCCGAGCCACCGTGCGGCCCCGCCCAGCTACCTGCTGTTCTCGGCTAGGTTCAGGTGACGTTTGATGTCCAGCAGCACCTCCTTGAGGAAGACCAACCGCTTTTCCTCAAACTGCTGGCACTGTTCAAACACCTGCTCCATGCCCTCCATGTACTGCGGTGTGGTCTTGCCCACTTCATCCAGCACCTTCTCATACTTCTCCTGCGTCTATAGGCACCAGACACGGGTAGGGGGATGAGGGGAGGGGGGCGGGGTGAGACCCAGGCCTGCAGCGGCCAGCCCCGCCCACTCCAAGGGCCCTCAGAGCCCAGCCGGCTGGCACCTTCTGCACGTCCTGCTTGCACTTGTCCACTTTGTCCTGCAGCTTCTTCTGCTGCTCGGGGGTGACTGACTGCTCCGTCTTGCTATTCATCTCCCGTGTCACGGCCAGCTTCTCCTCTTTGCAGGCCAGATGGTAGGCCTTCTTGGCTGCCTCTAGCTGTGGGGAAGCAGAACAGGCGGCAGGCCTCCTACTTGTGAGCTGGAGCAAATGTGGCCACTCGTCAACCCTCCCACCTGCCCGCTCTGCCAGGAGCTGTGAGCACAGTCTTAAGAGGCAGGGATGCAGGCCGTGGCTCCCGGTATTTGGGAGCAGCGCCCACCTGTGGAGGTCTCCCTGCACGGCACAGCCTGCTGCCCCAGGACACACTCCTGGCGGGCACAGCAGTGCCTGCCCTGTCTGGGGATACGGCCTGCTCCCCCACGGCACAACCCCAGAGGGCAGTGCACCGCCACCCCGTCTGTAGACCCCCTCCCTCTGGTCAGACCGGCCCTGAGCTCAGCCGCCCACCCTCGCCCCATCTGTAGCATCCGCCCACTGGGCACCTCCTTCATCTTCTTGGCCCAGGGCTTCTGGGCCTTGCGGAAGCCGTCCTCAGCCTCCTTGGTCTCCTTGAAGCCGCCCATGATCTGCTTGTGATAGGCGTCCT